CCCATGTCACCCCCTCCCCAGGTGTGTCTCCATCCCAGGAGCTCCCATGTCACCCCCTCCCCAGGTGTGCCTCCATCCCAGGAGCCCATGTCACCCCCTCCCCAGGTGTGCCTCCACCCAGGTGCCCCCATGTCCCCTCCCCAGGTGCTCCCCTGGGTATTCTCTGCATGGTAGAGTGGGTTTGTGTGCCCAGCAGGAGAGGCCTCCCAGGGTCTGTCTGTGAGGATGGCAGGAACCTTCACCCTGGGTCTCCGCGGTGAGAGCCACCGGCCGAGTGGGCGGGGAAGCGGTGCCTTCCCCTCTGCACGCCATCCTCTGCTCTCTACCCGCCCTCCTTGTTCTCCGCCCCCTGGGCAGCATCTCTGCGGCACCACACCGGCGGTCTGGCCGGGGTTTGGGACCCCATCGAGCACTTGGAAAGGTCCTGGGCGCAGTGCCCAAGTTTTAAATGACTTTATTCTAACTCTGAGGAGCAGAGTGGCTTCCACGGCTGTATTCGTGCGTTTCCTTGATGAAAGCCTGGACCTCGGTGTCATTTTGACCAGCGGTACCCAGCCCTCGCCGCCCGCCCCCGTGCAGGTGCCGCGCCTGTCGGCCCCAGTCCCGATCGCGCCGTTCCGCGTTCGGTGGACTCTGTCTGCAGTCACGGGCGTCCGTGGAGCACCCCGCTGGGTTCTAAGAGAGCGGGCCTCTACTGCAGAAAGGGCCTCCACACACAGGCAAGGGGGCCACTGAGACAGACGCACTGAGGGGCAAGGTGGTGGGCAAGAAACACCTGCAGCCAGAGCCTCTCTGCAAGGAGAAATTTTAGATGAAAGAGAAACAGACAGACAGACAAGCACAGATGGATGAGGGCCGGAGGAGGGTGCCTGAACCTACAGGAGACTCCACAGGAAGAGGCTGTGGAGCAGAACTGCAAGGAGAAAGGCATTGGTGGGGACTGAGCCCGAGAGGCTTGGGGACCAGTGAGAAGGGCGGGTGGAGCAGTTAACATCCCCCTCCCTTGCATCCCGGGCTGCTGTGAGCGGAGAGCCTCCCGCGGACCGGGCACTGGGCTCCCAGCTCCCTCCCGAGACCGCCCGCCCCGCAGACCCCACCGGTCAGCAGTTGCCACGTTGCTGCTCCACCCAGTGGCGCCTTTGTCCTCCCTGGGGGGGCGCCTCAACTCCTAAAGATCCGTCTTGCTCACCCCCACACAGACATTTCCCAACTCTGGCCTAGCCTGCAGGCACCACGGGGGTCCAGTGGGTCCCAGGAGATCTGCGTGACTCCAGAGCCCGGGCATTCTGGGTGGACGGCCTCCCAGAGAGGGCTGGAGGTGGCCAGCGTGCGTCCTTCCCCCGCCTAGTCCTTTAGTCTCCCCTGTCCTTCCCCCACCTGCGGCTGCCAAGAGAGACAATTCAGCCACCACCTGGAGACATCCACAGGAACAGGACTCAGACCTTTCCTTTTGGGGCCCTGCAGTGGACTGAGGGGTGCTCGGACTGTGAGCTCCCTGCCCGCCGGCCCTCCCTGGTGCTACTTGCCCAGTGACTCCAGCAGAGTGGGCAAACCCCGAGGTGGAGAGACATCGACCCGGCTTGGGCAGCCCGTGGGTGACCTGAGACCAGCACTCCTCTCTCTGGCATAGTCAGGGTTTGATCTCCCAGGCCCAGGAGACGGACCCGCAGGCCAGATCCCACACACCCAGGTCTCCACTGCATTGCCTGGAGGCACAGAAGGGATATTTGTGAACTAGTCTGCTGAGGTGTGTGTGCCTGCAGGGGCGGATCAGAGTGGGGCCTAGCTGCAGCGTGCTCGAGGGGCAAGGGCCGTGCGCCCAGCTCCTGCCGTGATCCTGGGCGGGGAACCTCCCGGCTCACATCACAGCCAGGGGAGATCCGCTGGCCTGAGGTCCTGCCTGCCGGCCTCAGCCCACGAGAAACCGCGGAATAGGGGAGGGTGGAAAGCAGCGAGGCCTGCTCCAGACTGCGGGTCTCAGACGGCCCCACTCCACAGACTTTCTGGCTGAGTGGGGCCATTTCAGCCCCTCCCTGGCAGCTTTGCCCAGAAGCAGAAACAGACCTTTGACCCCTGCTAACAGCATTTGTGGAACTTGAGGGCAGGCTCACCCAACCCAGCTCCGCCCAGCCCCGCTCCCCTCCTGACGCCCCCTCAAATGGAGAATAAGGACACACCTGGAAGTCCCATGGCCCCACCCACCACCTGAGGCACTAGAGAGCCCCTCCAGAAGAACAAGAGCTGGTTATAGGTCCCAAAAACAACACTGCACTTTGCTCCTCCCAGCAGGCGCCACCTACTGACAGGGAGGTCATTCTGCACACTCTTACTGCATCTACTGACTCATCATACAGGGCGTGGTCGATTCTCACCCACAAACACCACCAACTGGCTCAGAGACTAAACAGGGCGTGCCATTATCCAAAGGAAAATCTAAAGGTAAGAACCAACAGCTGCTCCAGATGGGAAGGAATCAGCAAAAGCACACCCCCAAAGGGGAACGCCAACTCTCTAGCAATGGA